CCCTACACGACGCTCTTCCGATCTCCCCAAAACCCCAAAACCCCACTTGAGCGAATTTATATGAATTTTAAGTAATTGAAATAGAATCAAAGTCGAATTATGAGGATTAATCAAATTATAAGAATGAACAGGATAAAGCCTTAATTAATCAGAACCCTCGCTTTCTACAAGTATCTAAAAATGAAATTACCTATTCAAATAGAATAAGAGAATCATTAAAGTGCTCTAGATATGATGGAAGCTGAGAGAGCATTAATTTAATTGAAGGCAGTACTATTGATCATTTGGTACAACTTTATTCTTCCTTCAGGCGATAGAGTGCTAATTAAACTAATGGTTCTTTCCATTGCATCAGATGATCTAAAAATAATAGAGGATATGTAACAATAAACAAAGACAGCCATCATTCCATGCCTTTCAAATCTGTCCATGATTCCACCATGATCTCCAAAAGTATTTCCAATTGATTCAATTCTGAGACCTCTTTTAAATCCTGATATCAAATAGCCTGCAAATGGAGAGAATACTGTAGCAAATAGAGCAAAAGTTAGAGCGTGAATAGTGGATGGTCTAATTAAAATGTGCTTATAACCCATGAAAGCAAATGGCAGTTCGAAGTTTTATTTCATGAAAGTCTGAGGAAGATCACATTATATTCCTTAAATCATAGCAAAAGTAATGTTAGTTTGTGGGCAAACCATATAGGAAAAACCTGCAAAGTATTCACTAATGAAGTATGTAAGTGCAAATGTAGTGACTAATCCTCCGAGGAATCCTTCCCAAGTCTTTTTAGGAGAGAGCATTATGAGTGGTGTTTTACCAAAGAAATAGCCAAACAAAAATGATGCTGAATCATTGACTACTACGATAGCATGTGGAATAAAGAACCAGAACATGCCTTTGTAAATATTATAGAATGCTGATGCTGGCAAAGTAAACACTATAAATAGTGAGAATAAAGTCCAGCTCAATCTTGTGAAGGAATATCTTAATGAACCTCTTTTTAAACTCATCACAAACATTAAGAGTCCAAAGATAAAGCAGAAAAATGCAATCATTTTGTGGTATTAAATAAGAATCAATGACAAGATTGAGTCCTTTTCAATTGATTCTTTCATTTGCTTGTTTTTAATCAAAATTTATGGGAACACTCCGAGTGTAAATGTAGCAAAATAGTACCAGTCAATCCAAGAGAAAATACTCATTTGATCCTTCTCATCTTTCCTTTTAAGTGACATAATTTCCTTGTAACTGATGAATGCAAGGCCTATAACAAGTATGACACAGTAAAGGTGACCCATTCCAACGATTAATAGAGTTGCAAGTGACATTGCACCTGTTGCAATTAGTCTATATTTCAATTTTGCCTGTTTAATCTTATGATCCTCATAAATAGGAGGTTTTGGGGCAAAGAATTTCTAAAAAGGATATCAGTAAATAAATGCTAAATAGTATTCAACTTACAATAGATTCATTGATATCGGAGAAGTCATCTAAGGTTTCAGACTCAGTCTCTGATTGAGCAACTTATTTTATTGGCTAAAGATTTAGCTGCTTTTCTGTTGGTAGTGCAATTTTAGCTGCCTTTTGTTTTGGCATTTATTTTCCTATTCTATTTTATTTAATATTACAGATTTACCAGACTTATCATTATTTTATAACTCCGGGGTTTTGGGGTTTTGGGGAGATCGGAAG